GGGGGGGGGGGGGGGGGGGAAGCAGCACTTATCCATTTGCAGAATAACACTTCCAGAAAACTTCCTCTCTTTTTGCTAAGTCTAGATAAAGCTGATAGTATGATATCAGAAGACTTGTTGCCTTTTCATTTATCAGGAAGGTATCTGATGAACAACATCACTTGTCTATATAAAAAGCTTATTTACAAAATGGACTAACAACTGCTCAAACTTGCTTTTCTATGTACATCAGGTGGAACTGTTTAACACCCCCTCCCCCCAATCTGTATCTCAAGAGTATGATAATGCCCAAATGCACAATTTTATCAGCATAAAGGCCTTGTACATGTATACGAGGAGAGAGGCTGTGTGTCAAAAGAAGTCTCTGTTCCTCCTTCAAAGCAAGAATTTGGTCTCCCAAATCAAGAGCAAAACAGCATCTTTCGAGTTGCCAAACAATAGATAGAGTTAGTGTACAGCTGCTCCCGCATTTTTGGATAGAATTGCTACACCCCTTATGCAAGTCCTTTCTGCTTAAATCGTTTCAACTGCTGTACAGGCATTGGCCTGGCTGGTATAGATAAGGGTACAGTGAATTCCTTGGTAAAACTGCAGATCACAATGTTCTGCTTCATTTCCTGCAAACCTGAAGCCTGTTTCCAGTTTTACCCACCTGAATCTTTTCTCCTCTTGCTTGTCCTGGTGCCCTTGGGTCTCGAAGTCTCAGCAGGCTCTGAGTCGAGCAGCTTTTGCCTTGAAGGGCTGCCTGTGTTTGTGGGGACAGAATTATGAGGAGGTTCTCTTTCTTCTTTGCAATCTGTCTCTGAAGCATCTTGACATGAAAGTTTCTCGTACAAAACAGCAGAGTCCAAGACATGCATGCGGAGAGCGAGGCCTGAGAGTGTGGAGATTCTTGCTGCAGCTGAAGGTGATGACCAATACCACCATTCATTTCTCAAATACTCAGTTTTGATGGCGTCCTCTAGAATTATTGTGGCTTGGACCATCTGAAGGACATAAATGAGCAATCTTAAGTATGAGATTTTTGGGACCAAAAAGAAGAAAACAGAGAAATTCCCTGAATGAGATTTTTGGAACCAAAAAGAAGAAAACAGAGAAATTCGCTGAGAGGTTTATCTAACAAAGAAATTATTATGTGATTTAGCACAAGAAATATATTCTGTTTATATCTAGGAACACAACTTTTCTTCTTCTTCTTCTTCTTCTTCTTCTTCTTCTTCTTCTTCTTTGATAATCAAGAAATCTTCTGCTTCCAGCTTCGAAATACGGTTTGTAATGCTCCCTCTCTATCCATTTCTTTTAAATACAGAGAATCCAAACTAGTGACATATGCCTACCCCACATCCCATGCTGTATTACCTTTGCAATTGAATGGAACCAAAGTCCAGGGGGTCTATGTAGGAACGCATAGACTTAATGCTCAGAAAGCCTAAGAAAGGCAGTTGGGAGGGAGTTGAACTGCAAAATATAAGATAAATAAACTGTATATGCACACAGATTGCAGAATTATGACCTCATGAACTAGCACAGCTGAACATAACTTTCAAAAGGCTCACAAGTCTGAGAAAGCATTTTAGAGCACAAGAGCATCCTTCAAAGAAAAAGAATACGCACATACTCAATCTTATCGTACAATCTAATTTCAGTAGAAAGAGTGAAACATTTACCTCATAAATTGTAGCTGCAGATTTCACAAAAGCACGCCATGCACGTCTTCTCTCTGATTGTGACCTTGACACTCTCAAAGCTTCTACAGGTAAAGCCGCATCCATGTCAAGCAAGTTGATTTTAAGACACTGTAAAATTTCAGAAGCCCGACCTACTAAAGGATGTAGAGAGAATTCCGGAATAACAAAGTACTTATTAGCCCCAAAATCAAATATTTTATCCTTTGTAAAAGAAAACTGATCTCCCCCCCTCTTGGTTGCAGAATTTAGTCTCTCGGACATTGGTCCCACCTCAGCTAAGCCATTTCTAGTACAATTTGGATTGTCTGAGATATTTAAGTTATTAGTGCGAGAAATATTGGCTCCATTTTGTGATTCCTGCTCTGAAGACAGCAAATCTGCAGAATATCCTGCACATACCTGATCTTCCCTTTGGGAGATCAATCCAAGGGCAGGATCACTGAGATATAGGGATGCACATGGAACAAATGATGGTGTACCATTACATCCAATGAGTCCTATGTCCTTTACCAGCTCCTTCAGTGACCTCTGAGTGATGAACTGTCCTTTGATCTCCTCAAACTTAAATGGACAATCTTGTTTGGTTTGATTCTCAGCAGGAGCCGGTGCATTAACATGCTTGTCCCTCCTAGATGCTTCATCATTACCAAGCTTCTTGCTCTTGAAAGCTTGAGAAACATCAATATTGCTCAAAGAATCATCCTGCAGCGTTTCATTTTTTGCTATTCTTTTCCGCTTGGTGGGTCGTTCATTTGTTTCCCCCCTACCCTGAATGGTTGAACCAATCCTGCACTTGTCATTTGCATGCTTCAGGCGTTCTTCAGCAGTGGAAAACGTTTGGTGGCATGAGAGACAATGAGGTCTAGACGGCCATAATGGTTCTAGACACTCGCACCTGTACAATCCACCATCACAGGAGACTCTCACTTTGACACCCATATCCTTACAGATATCCATTTCCTCCTCTGCTAAACAACCACTAATTTTCAATTTAATTGCAGCAACGGCTCTGCTGACGAGAGAATCAGAATTGAAACAGGAACCAGAATCTTCAGAGGGCACAGAAGTGCTCTCTCTTACCTTGTTATGCATATGACTTTCCGAATAGCTGGATTCCTTGGTTCTATTGCTCCGCCACTGCAAAATATACTCTTTCAATTCTCTTTCTCTCACATCATTATCTCTTAGCCATCGAAGAAGTTTTTCAATCTCAGCATCAGATTGATAAGATGTCCACTGACCAAGATTAGGCACGCCCATATTCTCCCAAGGAGCAGATGAATCTAAAATACCACTTTGTCTTGAACTTTCTACACCATAAGACCACAAATGTCGAGAGGACTCTGGCTGGGTACTTGTACTTGCATTAGCTACTAACCGTGAAGAACTAGACCTGCCAAAAGTCCAGTAGAGTCTGCCCTCAGAATCCTGTCCCATGTATTTCTTCCTAACAGAAACCTCCTGAAGTTCTAATTCTTTGGCAGCAATTGAGTCCTCCAAAGCACGAATCTCATTCTTCAGAGCGGATATCTCAAGAAGATACGCTTGGGCCAAATTTGGGTCAGCTTGTATGGAACACTGACGGCTATATTTTGTGGTAGGTGTGTGCTCAACCATATGGTTGCTGATGGAGCCTGACAAAGTATTGCCAGACACAAAGTGAGCAGCAGACGGCACCAGGCCGTTTGAACTATTTTGAGCCGACTCCAAACAATTGCCAGGAATTTGGTCATTTTCTTGTTGGGGGTTAGATATGAACAAGTCATTTTGCAAACTAGCTTCAGTGGCACCACATTTTGCATGGGATGAAGTATTCTTAGACCCAGTATTCTCCTTCACAGACTGCTGTTGATGTAAATGGTTGATCGAATCAGGAGAGTTTCTAATTTGATTGCTGCCACTTGCACAAGTTTTGTCCTGAATACTTTTTGAACCGTACAAGCAGGGTTGTTTGCTGTAATCATTACACTCATTTTGTTGAGTGCCACTATCCAGCTGTTTGCAACCACCAGAGATGGACGAGTTATGGCTGCCACTGTCAGGCTCCTGCACCTTCAGTTTACAGTCATTGGACCGTAGAGACGCTAATGCGTCTGATCCTGTGTCTCCACTGTTCCGAGCATTACTACTCAGTTTTGCAAGGCTTGCAGTCAAAATTTCCTGCCTGCATTTTAGAAGGTTCAGTTCAGCACCGAGGCTACGCAGTTTCTGCTGCAACTCAGCCGACAGAGAGGCGCTTTGGTCAATGTGATCACGAAGAATGGCTGAATTCAGCACCTCATCACACAAGAATTTAAGAAGGAAAATTCTCTGCATCATTGAGAAAAATTGTACATGTCAAATTAGGTTAGGAAAAGCTGCACATAATTCATGTACTACTTCGTTGTTAGGCTTAGTACGCAATCCTAGAATTTAACAAAATATTCATGCATGAGGCAGAATTCTCATCACACAGATAAATTAGAAGACTAGCATTTGCACATAAATTCATCAAATGAAAATTGAACATTAAACATGTATGTACGTACAAAGCTCAGTGGTCTAAGCAGAGATCAGAAGAGGCTAGGGAAGAACCTAAAGCAACTGGGAACAAAACAGGAGTGGCGAAGGACAAGCATGCATATGGTGTTACTTACATTGAAAATGAAGACTGCAAGGGAAATCATTTATTTAGTAGCCCTTCCTTCCGCCAAAACCCAAAAGCTGAATGCACGAGTGCCAGCAAGATTAAATGGAGAAGCTTTGAGCATACAGGAATAGCAGTGGAAAAATGTTCCTAAAATTGTTTGAGGGAGGCCTTTAAAGTTGTCCGAAGTATTATTCGGTGGTCATTATGCGACAAAAATTTTTTACTCCGCAGATCTTACACTTACGACTTCTCAAATGGACACCATCACCTCTTTGCACAAATTAGCTTAACTTGCTTTGTGGTGGAGACATCATTTAGGTTGAAGCCTTCTATCAGCATGCCAAGAAACAGTGCAAGCAAGTAAAATGTGCACAAGTTCCAGTGCAAACTGGACTTATGTAGACAAACCCATACAATTGTTTATGACACATGAATTTCAGATATCTACAAATCCTTCAGCACTTGTTTAACAATTCCATGCATTTTCTCATGTTATACAAATTTAACGAGTGACATGTCAACGGTCGAATACATTTTGAGACAAACTCCAATAATTACTTTAAGAAATTCTTCTACTACTACCAATATAATCTACGGGTCAATTAAATTTGGAAGACGTTTCAGAAACAAAAAGGAAGACATGTGAGACAAATGCTAATCCTTTCAAGGATCAAGCAATAATATTATTTCATACATCTTCCAACTGCAAACAGGGTAAGATAAAACTAACATTATGATGTCAACATATAAATACAGAAGAAAGTAGAAGAACGTACATCCTCCAGTGAAAGCTCCCAATATTCCTTCAACTCCATGGTTCTCGATAATTGAGAAAGTTCCTCCATAAACTTGTGAGTTAGTTTCCTGTGCAACCTCCTTTTAACGCATTGACGAAGAATCTGAAAACCTGAAGCATTCCGGGACTGTGATTCCTTCGTTTCACAAGATGGGCAATACCACTCCCCATCAGGAACTTTAATAAGCGGAGGATCTAAGCAATATGTATGGTACTCCGAATCACAACCATCACAAAGAAGAACATTGACATCATCTTTATCCATGCCACATACTTTGCAGAGTCCTTCCTCCCAAGGAGCTTTAGGAAGTAAGCTCTCATTCACATGAGCGAGGAGTTCATCTCTCACTTTTGCATCTTCACTGCTTAAACTACCGTCATTTGAACACTCAATTTTCTGGATTAAGGGAAGAACCTGGGGAGAAATGAGCAAGCCAAAGCTTAGTTAAACAACAAGAATGACAACACGACTACTAGTATAACCAAAGAAGAAGTTGAATCACACACTCAATGGAGCAAGGCTCAACTGCTCAACCAAAATAATAGGTTATAAAAAAACTGCACTGCATTGGATAACTTTCAAAATCAAATATCCCCAAAAACAATATCATATTCTATAGGTTTTTGAATCAAAGCGCGGAAAAAGCAAATGGACCAACTCTAGTACCATATGGCTCATCTTTTGCGGCTATCTCAAGAAGCATTAATCATTCATGCTAGGATATAAAGAAGACTAGCGAGAGGATCTTAACATATCGGGGACTGCCTCAACTGCCTTTCCTTTCGAACTGAACTACCACGACACTTTCAAACTGCATCAGATTTTTATGATAAAAGAAGATTAACTCTTGGAGCGGACTCCTTTCCTAAACTAAAGATTTGAATTACCTTCAGGCAGTATCATTTCGCTACTTATCTTAATGGGAACAAACATCATGCTTATCTAAAAGGGAACAAACATTATAAAAAAGTTTAAATGCAAAGCGATTCCTTACTGTGGCTTAAAATAATAGGATAACACAAGCCTAAGGAAAGGCTAGAAGACCAACAAACCTCATTTTCATAATCTTCCTCGAATTTCTGCAATAAGGATCCGGCTAACTCAAGCAAATTGGACTTATTGCAGTATGCAGTCCGTATATTATGCCAAACCTAAAAGAAACAAAGAATAAGCAATTTTGAAATATTGAAGGAAAACGAAAAGGATTGAACGAAAATCTGCAGAAACACTTGGGCTAATCATGCATCTTTCTAAGTAAAATGATCCAGCAAATCCCAGACATCAAAGAACATGGATGCCAACAATTACACAAAATTTCAAACTGCAACTAAAATCTTATTTGAGAAACCAGAATTGGATCTTCATATTCTCCTTAACGCATCATTGAGACCACACATATNATATTATCCTTAATGCATCATTGAGACCACATATACATGTTAAAAGCATTACCTCCCGCACATCATCGATGAAAGATTCATGTGATCCCCCATAGGATCCAGCAGCCAACTTTAGATCAATGGTCCTGAAGTCTAAAGGCCGAGATACCATTGCCGGATGCCCAAGAAGCCCCTCATCGTCATTATCATTAGGGTTCAGAACTGTTCTCCCCAAAAGATTGCAGAAGACTTTATCTTTATCTTCTTTAACAGCTCGCCGTAGTATAATCCGGCATTGTTTCATAATGATATCAGACACAGAGCTAGCACTCTTTACCTTTTCTTCCTTCTCAGGTTTGGGCGAAGTATTTTCGCGGTTAACATCAGCCAGGACAGAAATTACTGCTCTCTGCATTCAGTTAATATTGATTTAAAAAAATAAGTCGTTTAACAAAGCTGACACATTCAGTATATATTCAAGATATTCATCATGCAGCACCTTGGTTGGCCCTGATGCATTTCCCTTGTAAACTTCCTTACTGATAGAGTGCACCAATATTTTTCTTGCCCATTCAGGTGGATCTTTTTCCAAAGCCTCATTGATACATTTTCTAATTCGAGCCCCGACATTTGTAGGTAGCTTCCTTACTGGCTCCAGCGCCTTTGCCCACTCTGGGACTCCATCATCAGCACCAACTCCTTTGGCATCAGACTCTTTCTCATCAATGGCAACAAAAATGCTACCACTCTTAAGTGATCCAAATATTTTCTTTGTAGCCTCTGCAAGAAGCTGAAATCACGCACTTCAGAATATCTTAATTTTGACAGACCTCAGATAACAGGAGAAGCAAGTGTATTTAGTAAAGAAGAGACAGCACAGCCAAATGGGCTCGAAAATGGACACAACAAAGGCACTCTTCAAGTAGGGTATGAAACACAAAGCAGGTATGACAAGAACAAACGCATCAATTTAACATTGGCAAGAAGCTTAAACTATTAAGTTGACTGTAGTAAACCCTCAAGACTGCAGAAATAACTTTTGAGAGATCTCCTCTTTAGAGTTTTTCCATATGGATTAAAGTACCAACAGAATAATCTCAACTAAAGGATATATGTATTAACAACACTTACTAAAAGATTTATAAATCAATAGTATGCAACAGTTCAAGTTACAGATCACAACCGAAAAACAAACATTTGTAGAGGATATTATTGGCACACTACTGTTTCCCATACACTTTGGAACAAATATGATAACTGATATTGATGATTGGATGCTCTTTCCGGAGAATCACGTTTTCCCACGTCTTTTTTTTTCTGTAAGACTATATTTTCTGTATGCACCTTGTATGTGGGTGATTTTCCCCAACACTTCAATCAACTATCAATTTTTGTTTGATAAGCACACTTCAATAAACTATCATAGACAATACTTTCAGTATAGAGAATGAGAATGCTACAGCCTACATGCGACAGGCATAAACTTTAGCATTGCGGCTTAAAAGAGACATATTCTCATATATTACGGTTACTACATCACGTCAGAGATTGCACCATATAACAAGTATCTACTTCACAGAATGAGCTTATATTTGTTATTAACTTGTTAAGCATGTAATAGCAATGCACATGAAATGGTAGATGTTTCTGACATACTTGCATGTTCTTAATGCACCATAATCAACTATTACTTCCTCCCTTTGGGGGGGGGGGGGGGGGGGGTGGCCTCTATTATAACTCCACCATAACCTTTGTTGGTATAACTTGC